TATATATATATATGTATATATATATATATATATTAAACAAATAAATAAAATATAAAAAAAATATAAAAATAGATGTACATTTTTATGAAAACTTGAGAACAACAACAATGATATGCACATAAACTTTAGTCTAAAAAATTAATAAAAATAAATAAACACATTAAAAATATAATAGTTATTAGTTTTTTATTTTTATTTTATTTTTGTTTAAAATGTATTGACAAAACTAAAGTCAAGTAAAACTGCAATTAAATGCCTACAAAAAGTACAGGAATTTATTAAAATAGTATCACCAACCCGATGGGGGTATTTTATTTGTCAGTCCCATTTCCCACAAATATAAACAAAAATATTAATTTATTTTCTCGTTTATTATGATCATTTACTCATTAAAAATCGATATTTATTTAAATTATTTATTTGAGCAATAACTAAAAGTATATAAATATGATCTGGATATGGAATGAATTTTAATATTATTCATGAAGTATCGGCAAAAAAGAAAAGTTTAGATTCGTTAGAAATATTTTATGGTATATATTTCTCGGAGTTATTTTATGACCGCCCCATATGTCTTTTCTGATATGGATATATAAATCTTTATGAGATATATTAATCTTTTCTAGGAGCAAGCCTTTAGTTAATGCATTATATTCAAACTAAGTAGTTTAAATTAATTTTTGACATCTAAAGTTTTTGACTATGTCTTAAGCTTTATTAATATTTGTTAGCACAGGAATGCCTGCTTTGTCATTTTCCTAAATAGGGTATTAAGCCAGGGTGCATATCGACAACTAAAGGCAACAGCTACTAGTTAAATTTGTGTTTCGCAACTGAGTGGTAATCGACACTGTTCAGAGCGACAGCTCAGATGCCAATGTGCTACTGTTTAAGCAAATTTGGCATAAACTTGACTTAAAGACTGCAGACAGAACATTAAAGGGCCCAAAATTCAAAAGTATATATTTCGAGAGTTTCAAGTCTGAAATGATGAATTCGGCAAATGTTGCCTCAAAGGCATTTGTTTAATTCTATGTGAATAATTACAAGGAAAGGCAACAAATTATTAATCTCCGAAGATAAATAGATAAGAGTAATCTCAAGTAATTACAAAAGCTGAAACAAAAAACTTTTGGTTTGAACACGCAGAGAGAGAGAGAGAGAGAGAGAAGAAGAGAGAGCGAAGGTTGTGTTCAGTTCTTAATTTGATTTCTCAATTTTTGAATTGAAAAATTGTTGAGCGGAAAAATGCAGACAGAAATATTCGGGTAAACAATAAAACAGAAATTGTTAAATATTGCCTCCTCCTCAAAAAAAAAAAAAATTATTCATAAATATTCAAATGAAAAACCTCATGCTGCTACAAACGCAGGCGGAATCTGCGCCAGGACAAGCCAAGTCAAATCAAATTATGGATAATTTATACATACAATTTCCACTGGACTGATGCCGTTACTACTGCTGTGGCTGCTTCTGCTGCTGCTCCGGGTTCAGTCAGCTGCTGCTTCAGCTCCAACGCCAGGTCCTGCAGGATCGCCAAGGCAGGACGAAAGGAGCTGCGGCCGCCGCGACGGAAACTGGCCGACTTTGGCTTCACTTCTGCCGCTTGATTGAAACTCATTTATCATCATAAATTAGTGCGGCAGAGGGGGGCCAAATGGTGGGCGGGGCACAAGGAATGTGCCACGAAATCAGGGAAGAGATTCATCATGCGCCTGACTGTGGGCGTGGCCGTCAGCTGGACAACTGGGCAGCAGGCATGTAATCCAGCTCAGATTGAAAATTAATGAGGTCATCATGCTGCACACACACACACACACATACGCACATATACACACTCCGATTTCTTAGCTGTAAAATCAGCAACTACAAAATTATTCACAATTTTCATTTTTTTTTTTACATCTTTTCTATTGTTGATTTTTTACCATAAACAGTTGAGCAGGAAGCAAAACGCCTATCCACTGTCTTTCATACGCACAGTGGAAGAAGTCAGTGCTAATGACTTGACTGATAGCAGCATAGGGTATATTTGACTAGCAGTTCGCATATGCAACACGGATTATTAAGTGTAGGAAGAAATGCTGAAAAACTTTTTGTATTGTTTCTTATAAGAATTTATGGGCATAAATCATATGATCGAAGAGAAGAGAAAAGAAGAGAAGATTTATATAGACGTAAAGCTGGAATATTCTTCGTAAATTTGTAGAAAAGCACAGCATAAGGAAGGCTTCAATACTTATTATAATATTCTAATTGTTTAATTTTAATAACTTTAATTAATTTTAATAATATTCTATTGATTCTATTTCCATGTCCATGTCTATGGCGAAGTTGCCTCGTTAAAAAACGGAAAGAAATCATGATTTCATACATATATCAATACAACATATATCGAAAATCCCTCACTCATACTCATCCAACATTCATAACAGGTAGTCAAATCAGACAGCCTACTTTTAAGCAGGGTATGGCATAGTCGATCATGCTGTAGGCTCAACTTGGGATTTATCTTTAGCTCTTGCTTGGAGGTGTGTTTATTGTGGCACACTTGTCTTCAGCAGCGTGACGGGAACCACCCTCTGAACCACCCCCTGGACTTGCCACTAAAATGAACTGCGTTGGAAATAAAAATTAATTGCGGACACTTGAGGGTGAGGTGAGGTTGAGGTGGTTGGAGGCTGGCAACTAGGGGATTGGGGCTGTAGGTTGGCTGCCGCTGGAGTAGGGGTGGGGGCATGTGGCACTTACATAAATCAAAATTCTGCACATTTAGGGCGTTTAGGCATTTGAAATTTTTTTCACATCCAGCCAAATGCAAATAAGATGATAAGGAATGTTCTTCATTTGGGGTCTGCATTGTCCACTCTGTTCAACTCACCCCATCACCCCCATTCCCTTGCCCTCATCATATAGAAAATTATGTGAGCCATTCACGGAGAATGCAAATAAATGAAGCGGGCCTCTTAATCTCTACGCCAAATATTTAATTTTATTTATGCGTGAGTATATGTAATTCGGAGAGTAAGAGTATTATAATGAATATATATGTATATAGAAATATTTATATTGTAGGAAATCTTTAGTTCACTTTTTTTTTTTTTTTTTTTTTTTAAATCAACCTAAACTTTCTTTTAGCATCTACTTAGCTCTGCCGATATTTCTCTTCTTCCCTCATTACTCATTGTGACACGCCTAGTATCCACCTCCTCGATATGGTTAATTATCAATTGATGTATGTCTATCTTGTACTGACCTGCTACAATATAAAAATATATATATTTTTTCATTATTATTGATTTATTTATTTGTTTCATTATTATCTATTATTATCTACTTATGAATATAATTACTTTTGAGGCAAGTTCAAAGTTGTATTTTCGATATGTATGTGTAAATTTACATATGTATGTATATATGAATGAAATTTATGCCTAAAGATATATACTCTTGCATATATAAATATAAATCTCTTGACTATTTACTTTCGTTAAGCGTTCTGTTGATACTATATAAATTGTGTGACTGCAGGAATATTAAGTCCTTAATCTGTTCGAGCTTCATCAGCTGGCCTGCAGCGATTGGGTGTCCGTAATCTCTACGCTGATATTGCAATTTATTTAAATAATCTAGCCATAATTCAAATAGCCCAAAAGCCCATGAAAAAGGCATTCCAAAAAGAAATGCTCCAAATGTTAACCCTTTTCAACACGAATATAAAACGGTGATGCAGCCATCTGCAATCAATTGAATTTGTATGTATATATGTATATCTCTCTCTCTATATATATATATATATATATATAGCTGATAATTTATTACCTTGACAGCAGTTGGGGCTGGACGGCAAGGTAATTATTATCGCTGACCAACGTGGCGCATACGTAATGAATGGCCGGTTTAAACGGTTTAAGGTTATGTGACATTTTTTTTTATTTCGCTCAGCATCGCTAGCCGAGACAACAATTTTCCATTTTCCGTTTTCCATTTTCATTTGCCATTTTTGCGACTTTTTACACCAATTTATGGCTTTGACCTTTGGGCGTCGTTGCAAGGGACAACATTTTTATTACGTATTATTTATTATTTTTCTTAAGCTCTTTAAAATACTGCCGAAGAAAATTAATTTGGAATTCAATTAGTAATTTATTAGCTGATTTCAAAAGGGTTGAAAAAAGGTATGGAATTAATAACCGGAAGATACGTTTTTTTCTGCATAAGGGTTCGGGTATGACCTAGTCAGACACACCGTTTGGAGCAATATAACTGATATATTCTAGTATTGAATTGCAGAATATAATCACATTTATCTCTTCTATAAATGTACACACATATCTATCTCTTAAAGGATTTGAAATCTGATTTTGCTCAGTATGGATTTTCTTAAGCTGGTAGGCGTTTGTTTTATATTTCTTTCATTATAGTTTAGGCTTTAAAAAGTTTTTTTTTTTCAGCTTGCCAAGCATGTCCTTTCCTCATGTTTTCTTTGACGTTACCGCGGATGGAGAGAAGCTGGGTCGCATTTCAATGGAACTGCGTACGGACGTAGTTCCAAAGACCGCCGAGAACTTTCGAGCTTTGTGCACCGGAGAGAAGGGCTACGGCTACAAGGGTTGTCCGTTCCATCGGGTTATACCAAATTTCATGTGTCAAGGCGGCGACTTTACCAATCAGAATGGCACTGGAGGACGCTCCATCTATGGCCACAAGTTCCCGGATGAAAACTTTGAGCTGAAGCACTCGGGTGCCGGCACCTTGTCGATGGCCAATGCCGGTCCCAATACAAATGGCTCGCAGTTCTTTATATGCATGGGCAAGACCTCGTGGCTGGACAATAAGCACGTTGTGTTTGGCAAGGTAATTGATGGTATGGAAGTAATACGAAAGATAGAATCGATGGGCTCGAACTCTGGCAAGACATCCAAGAGAATTATTATTGAGGACTGTGGCGACTTGGAAAGCTAAATTTTAGATCCATATTCAAATACAGACTGAATTATTTTTATTTCCCAATTATAGTTTTTTTCATAGTTTATTTTGATTGACTAACACTCCTCTTAGTTAGGGACACCCTTAATGCAACACTTTTTCTACGCCCGTGTGAAGTTCGACGTTTCGACAAACGCCGTGTAGTTTGCTGGCCCATCATCGACGCAGTTAGATCCTCAGGTTGGATTTCTAGTTCACTGTTCGCGTTCGAAACATTCTCCTCAGGCTCAATCACTTCGAATCTGTTCATTAATTTCGTAGATAGTATGCCATCGCTCGTCTCGAATTGGCGATTCCTGTACTTTCTGCAAATGTATTGCTCCGACTCATCCTCTGAATAACGTTCCGACTTCTTATCGTCATTATCTATGGTCACCGGATAGATCTGGAACTTGGCTATGTGATTGTAGCCCATTCGAGTTGTCTTAAACACCGCCACACGATTGCCATAGGCCACAGCCGCAGGCAGAGGCATCTTCCTCAAGTACAGCGCATAGATGACGCCAGCTGTGAAGCACTCGCCGACTCCGTAAGTATCGATCGGCTTCCTGCCAGCAGGGAGTGGCAGGTCGTAGTACTGGCCGTTAGTGTCCAGGCAGCCAGCACCGTACGGTCCCCAGGAGCAAAGGATATTTGGCCTGCGTACCTGAATGGAGTGTGGCAAGGGCAGAGTCTTATCCAATCCCAAGCAGGTCTCCTTCACTGTGCGCCAGCCCAGATCCAGGGCCAGCTGCCTCGAGAATATCAAGTAGTGACACATGTCGAAGAGATCCTTGTTCTCGTTGTAGCAGCCATCCACCTTGAGTGATATTTTGATGCGCTCTGTGCGTCCGCTGTTGTAGTTATGTATGGCCCGCATCATCGGAATGATGTCCAGCTTGTTGCGCGCCTCGAAGTGCACCCAGCCGTAGCGATCGAGGTCCAGCTTTTTGAACTCCTCGATGCCGATGTATGGAAACTTTCTGCTGCATTGCAGAATGGAGCGACAGCCAGTCTGGCGATCTATCACCACCGTGGTGAAAGCCGGGCTTTTGTCTGTTCTCGGGCAGTGGCTCAGGTCGATGTTGATGTGCTCCATCTCCGCCAGAATTTCTCGCAGCAGGCTGGACCGACTCAGCACGCCAAGGAACTCTACTTGGGCGCCCAGCAAGCGGAGCACGTAGCTCACATTGCTCGCATGGCCTCCTCGCAGCCAATGCGCCTCGACGGATAAATGATCCGACTTTCCCGCGGGCATTGAGTTGCATTGCTCCACGATGTCAACGCCCATGCCGCCCACACATAGCATGGGTTTGGTTATGCTTAGAGCGCAGTTCATAGTTGAGAAAAGTAAAAAATTTAAAAACTTAAATTTAAATTAAAATTTGAAATAATTTGTACAAAATGTGGGCCGTGAATGGGCTGTCAAGTATTAAATTATTCAGCACCTATTTAAATACAAAATAAGAAAATTTAAAATGCCCTTGTTGAGGGTGTTCCACTAAAAGTTAACCTACTCCGATTTCCGTGCACAGCTTTTATTTAAGCATTAATCCAGATCTACCAGATCTATTTGAAACAAGGGACAGTAATCTCTGTAGTCGACTGTGTTCAACTAAAAGATGACTTCAATACGGTGCAGAGCTGCCATTTGTTTGAGGCCATCTTCATTCTACTGTCCGTCCATCCATCCGTTCGACTGTCCGACAGTCCATTTCAATGCTATTGAAGCTAGACACTTGTCTTTGGAATATATGTATGTAAGCTCGGATATACTCTTTTCCTTTTATACCATAACTACAGCAGGATTAAAGGAAATATTAGCTCTGGTACCTCAGAAACCGTGTTAAGGAATTAAATGTTTGTATATAGACCAACAAAATTCGTATATTGTGGATATATTTGCGACTACAGGGGGCGTGATTAATCTCTAAAATATATCATCCGATACTTTCAGAGATAGACATTTGTAAATTCGATAATTATATTACAGCTGACCTTCGTTATCGATGAACCCGAAATTCAAGCCTTTTTGGGGGTGTGCAGAACTTCAACAGGTTTATACGTATAGTCTTACAGTGACGTTACTACAAACTTTTTGCTTAGGGATAGCCCAAAATTATTTCTTAGCCTACTTTGACCATGCTTCAGAGCAAATGCGATACTACTCATCTTTGTCTGATCTCTGTTGATTAAAAATTAAAGATATTTGCGTGTTGTAGGCGTGGTAAGAGAAAAATATACTAAATCCAATGCTAGTTCTTCCAAACGGAATCGTATAAACCCTTTTTTCCCTTTGCCTAGAAATATTACGGAAAAGTTTTATTTGTATATGCATTTTTGTAATTTATCTGAATTTCGTAATTCCAGAACAAGTAAGATATGTATATTGCGACTCGACTCTGTACATAATTATATAATATGATAATATATACACATTATATATATTAAAATATCTAGCGGGCTTGGCAGGGGGAAAAAGAGAGATCTTTTCCCCACTCCTTTGTCAAAAATTAGCTAGAATTGGTCTTATGACAGTGCTAGCTTTCAGATATTAAATCAAATTAGAGAATAAATGGCAAAGTTTCATCTATGTATTTTTGTATTTTATCTGAATATCGTAGTACCATAACTTATATAACTTAACCTTTAATATACATATGTAGTTCTTCCCATGGATTGCAATGATCGAATCAATCAATTTTACAGCTGCTAATGTCTCAGCTACTTGGGTTAAAGATTAGTTAGCTTAACCTTTACCGGAAATAGCGGAAATATTGACAGCCGTAAAATCAACTAATTGGAAGTTCTGCCATTGAATGTGTTCATTATTTTTGTTAAATAAATTAGCATCGCTCGACTTAGATCGGAAATTCGTGTAATTTGTGCAACTTAGTTGATTGGAGTCATCGTCCTCCGAATGATGTTCCCACATCTTATCGTCATTATCTATGGTCACCGGATAGATCTGGAACTTGGATATGTGATTGTAGCCCATTCGAGTTGTCTTAAACACCGCCACACGATTGCCATAGGCCACAGCCGCAGGCAGAGGCATCTTCCTCAAGTACAGCGCATAGATGACGCCAGCTGTGAAGCACTCGCCGACTCCGTAAGTATCGATCGGCTTCCTGCCAGCAGGGAGTGGCAGGTCGTAGTACTGGCCGTTAGTGTCCAGGCAGCCAGCACCGTACGGTCCCCAGGAGCAAAGGATATTTGGCCTGCGTACCTGAATGGAGTGTGGCAAGGGCAGAGTCTTATCCAATCCCAAGCAGGTCTCCTTCACTGTGCGCCAGCCCAGATCCAGGGCCAGCTGCCTTGAGAATATCAAGTAGTGACACATGTCGAAGAGATCCTTGTTTTCGTTGTAGCAGCCATCCACCTTGAGTGATATTTTGATGCGTTCTGTGCGTCCGCTGTTGTAGTTATGTATGGCCCGCATCATCGGAATGATGTCTAGCTTGTTGCGCGCCTCGAAGTGCACCCAGCCGTAGCGATCGAGGTCCAGCTTTTTGAACTCCTCGATGCCGATGTATGGAAACTTTCTGCTGCATTGCAGAATGGAGCGACAGCCAGTCTGGCGATCTATCACCACCGTGGTGAAAGCCGGGCTTTTGTCTGTTCTCGGGCAGTGGCTCAGGTCGATGTTGATGTGCTCCATCTCCGCCAGAATTTCTCGCAGCAGGCTGGACCGACTCAGCACGCCAAGGAACTCTACTTGGGCGCCCAGCAAGCGGAGCACGTAGCTCACATTGCTCGCATGGCCTCCTCGCAGCCAATGCGCCTCGACGGATAAATGATCCGACTTTCCCGCGGGCATTGAGTTGCATTGCTCCACGATGTCAACGCCTATGCATCCTACGCATAGCATGGGTTTGGTTATGCTGAGAGCGCAATTCGATTTCATTCCCAACAAATTTCCAATAACTAGGAAAGTAGCTCAAACTTTAAAATATATTTGAAAGAATTTTGGCAAAATATCCAACGAAATTGGGTTCCCAATCATTGATTGTGGATAAGTGCGTTCATCAATAAGTAAATGAAATCATTTTATTTTAATAATTATTGTATGTATGCTAGTAGTTAAATTTATTTAGCTCATTAAAGATTTATCTAAACTTATCAGAGAAAAATATTCGAAACATATAATTTTTAATATAACTTTATATACATCACATTTAATACAATAAAAAAAAATTTTACATCATATAAAAAAATCTAATATACACCATTATAATATAATTTACAAATATATACACATTATGTAAATATTTACTTCAAGTAACTGTATAAATACTATAATACAAGGAAATAGTCATATGAATAAGCAGTGGGGTATATTAATATACAAAAAAAAAAATAAATAAATAAATAAAAAACAGTGTTGGTAAATTATATTTTTGTGTAAATGCCTATTAATTTTTGGGGTACTTCAAAATATAAAATTTAATTAAATAAATAAGAATGATTGTATAATTTTAAAAATAAATTAAATATTCCTTAATTATAATGTATTATGCAAACGGTTTAAAAATTCTTAATTTATATAAATAAGATTTTGTTTCCATGATTTAAAATATCTGTTTGACCTCGATTATTGGTTTCACTTCACAAACATATTTCGCATGAAACTACAATTCTGTAACCTCTAGTAGGCTTCGACTTTTGCCTGCTGATATTTTAGATTATATATTCGATTCAGCATTCCTGCTCTGGTCACAGAACAGAACGGATCTGAAATTATTTCACATTTATTAGTTTTAATTTTCAAGTCGGTGAGAAATATATACATATATATTTTTTTTTTTTTGAGAATATTTTCTGGTTATAATTATTTTTATTATAATTTTTCATTTATTTATTTAGTTTTTTATTTTTTTATTTATTTATTTTTTTTTTCTTAGAGCTGGCTTTGTTGCGCACGTTTTGCAAGCAGGCCAAAATGTCGTCGTTGCCTCGTGTTTTCTTCGACATTAATGCAGGCGGGGAGAAGCTGGGTCGTATCGTAATGGAGTTGCGCTCGGACGTCGTTCCAAAGACCGCCGAGAACTTTCGCGCTTTGTGCACCGGAGAGAAGGGCTACGGCTACAAGGGCTCTCCTTTCCATCGGGTTATACCAAATTTCATGTGTCAAGGCGGAGACTTTACCAATCAGAATGGCACTGGAGGACGCTCCATCTATGGCCACAAATTCCCGGATGAAAACTTTCAGCTGAAGCACTCGGGCCCCGGCACCTTGTCGATGGCCAATGCCGGCCCCAATACAAATGGCTCGCAGTTCTTTATTTGCACTGAGAAAACCACCTGGTTGGATAACAAACACGTTGTCTTTGGCAAAGTGGTTGAGGGCATGGATGTCATTCGTAAGGTTGAATCGCTGGGCTCGAACTCTGGCGCCACAACCAAGAAAGTGTTAATTGAAGACTGTGGCAGCTTGTAAAGTCAAAAACTCAAGTGGTTCAATGTTATTTTTTCCAGTACGTAGATTATTAGAGGCAGCTGTAGTTCGATTTCATTGATTTTTAAGGCTATAAATAAACAATATTACTCATGGGTGTTACAAGAAAATTATAAGCGTAATTTTCATTACCACTTGATATTATGTTTCTATCGATGACTATCGCTTTTTTGTATAATTTAAATAATATTTATATACAGATTTGGGGGCACTTTATAGAATTTCGATTTTTGTCAGAATCGCTTTGACTTTCTTCAAGCATTCCCTCCAAGAATTTCTTTCAAGTATTTCCTAGTGTTCCTTGTAAATATTTACTGCTCTCCATGATTGACCTCCAACCAGGTCTGGGCGACTGAATAAATGCTGCAGCTGATGCCTTTATATAGGTGGACATTCTCTCAGGCACTAAATCGTGCTCAAATGCAGAGCCGGATCGTTGTAGTTGAGCTTCAAGTGATCAATCGAAACACTATGCTGCCGTAAGCATTCTAGCTTCCCATTCAACTACCCATTCAACTCAGACAAGTAGAGCAAACTTTTTCTACGCAGAAAAAAAAGAGCATACGCTTCGTAAGGGCTCGGGTTAGTAGTTTTATTTATAATTTCCAAGTTAATTTGTCGATCTCCGAGCCAAAGAGACATTATAATTTGCCTGTATATCTCAATATAATCTAGAAATTTACATTTAGTTTTTTTCAAATCATCGATATCTCTGGCCATTTTATTATATTCGCATATCGAACCTAAGGTATTGAATCATGCATCTTTGTTTTAAGATTTTTCGAATTTTGTATTTAGTTGATGCTTCATTTTCATATTATATATATATTTATTATATACACCACATACCGTCGAATATGGCAATATTGAACATTTTAATTTAAGCCACTTAGAAAATGTTGTAGAATAGCATTTAAAAGTCACTTCATTTTATTTATATATACATTTATTTTTTTCAAAATTATGAGTCTAAAAAAATCAATTCACAGAATTTAGTTTCCAGTTTGGCATTGTAGAATGGACGAAATGAATAGAGTTCTTAGCTTGGCCGCGGCCAAGAAGAGAGTGATGTGTGTGGGTAATGCGACCATGGATTGCATATCGATTGTCAAGCGATTTCCCAAACTCAGCAAGACGGAAAAGAGCGGCGTGGGCTATTGTCAGCGGGGCGGGAATGCAAGCAACATTTGTACAATCCTTCGAAACCTTGGTGTTGATGTGGAGTTCTTTGGAGTGCTGTGCTCGTCGCCCATGTGTGCGAGTATAAAGCGCGACATGACGGCGCGTGGCATCAAGTCGCATCATTGTCCGCAGTGCATGGAGGATCCGCCTTTCTCGTCAGTGGTTGTCAATCAGCGGACGCGCACCACCCATGTTGTCGCCTGCAATAAATCCTTTCCGTATCCCACTATGGAGGATTTCGAGAAGCTTGATCTGAGCACATACGGTTGGATACACTTCCGCGGCTGCCGTCCAGAGATTACCATTCAAATGATGAGAGCCGTCGATGCCTACAATCAAACCCAAAGCGATAAGATCATCATCTCGATGGACTTCGACATGGACTTGACTGCAAACTGGCCCCTGGTTGACTACTGCGACTACGTGTTCTTCTATAAGGCGCTGGCCGAGGAAACGGGCTGGAAGTCGGCGAGAGAAGGTTGCGTCGACATCGATCAGATGTTGCGCTTGCGATTCGGGATCAACATGAAACGTCCCTTTGTGGTATTCATATGGAGTATACAAAAGATCGGACTGATGGATCTCGATGGCAACTACATTCGTACGACCTCTTACAAGCCGACACGATTCGTCGACAATCTGGGCGCAATGGAGGTCGTCGTTTCTGGCTTCATCTATGGACTGTATGTGAGAGGTCGTAGTCCCCGCGTCGCAGCTGATTTCGCCAGCCTCATTGCTAACTACAAATGTACAAAATACGGCTTTGATCATATTCCGAATATACTAGAAGTACCAGACCTATGAATATTCAAAATATACATATATGTATATCTCTATGTACATACTCGTATATTTTATACAAATACATTGATTGGTTAAGTTTTAATAAAATTGATATTTAGATCTTAAATATATTATTATTTATGTAATTATTTTGACTCTGTCATTTTTAGAAGATCTTAAAGTGAACTTTAAAATGCAGCTGAAAGCTGAAGAAGAAACTGAAGCTGAAGCTGAAACTGAAGGCTGATGGCTGAAGCAGAAGCTGCAATAGCTCGTAAATTGCTCACAACTTGTGCAAGGGACTATGTGCTCGGCATAATTGTGGCATGATTAATTCCAGAGTCGGGCAGAAGTTGTTCAGACGCAAAATAAATGCACAAAGTTACAAGCTTGTAGAAAAATTGTACGTATTTATGTATATTTTGTGGATTAAGCGATGCGAGTTGAGAGAGACAAGCAGGCAGTCAGCCAGTCAAGCAGGCAGTCAAGCAGGCTGGCTGGCAGGCAGTTAGTGTAAATGTTATGCATGGCATCAAGCGACAGACACAAAACGAGAATGTTTGCTGGTCATTTATCATGGGCCCAACAACAGTGCCAGGGCCATGGACGAGAATAAGGAGAAGTGAAATTGCGAAAGCAGAAGGAAGCGACAGCAACAATTTCGTCAGGAATTTAAGTGACAATTTTCATACAATTTCCATGGCAAAGGACACGGCACAACGCGGCGTATGAGCGATGATGACGATAATTTCGGCCGGCCAAGAGAAATCGATAAATGTCCAGGCATTTGACATGCGACAAAGACAACCAAAACGGGAAATACTTCCGGTCATGGAACTGCCTGTCTTTTGTAGACGCTTTTTTATTGTTAATATTTCTTCTGTTCATTATTTTTGGGGGGGAGATACCCTGCAAAAAAGTGTGAAAATGGGAGGTAGAGTGAAAGAGAGAGATGATCAGACAACTTTGTTGTGTATAAGAAGCATATTTGATCAGTATATAATATGATGAGTATATAATATTCGTAATAGATATAATAGTGAATGAGAGATCAGAAAAATGAGAAGAAAATCAAGATTGCATATATTAAGCATGCCTTGACTTGTTTATATTACTATTTTATTGGTATTTTTTGGGTATTTTATAGTCATGATGTTAAAAAGAAACGAGAAATACAATAAAAAGACGATTCGGTCAAAGCTGACAAGCATGATCATTTGTCTTAGACATATTCTAGTAACTAATAGGCTTACAGTTTGTATTTATATTTGAATATGCTCACTAATGAGTATCAGTTATTCGTGATATATATAAAATATCAAAGCCATGATAAAAACTCCAAGAGATCTAAGAGATCTACATACTTAAGCATATGTACATACATATATCAGTATCGCTGTCCTCGCTAATGGGTATCTGCTAGTCGTGATAGCTCTATCTGTACTTTTTCGCTGACTATTGCAACGTCGAACAATGCAAAACCCAAAAATTATGCGTCGCAAATGCGACAAAGCCGAGGAAATGTGGAAAGGGAGGCGCCACTCCAGGCCAAGACGCAGACAGTCAGCAACGCTTCAAAGCGGCTTCCGGCTGGCTTGCACGAGCACACACCAACACACACACACATACACATACATGTATATATATACATATATATATATGTAGAGCAGGCCGCCATTTATGTAAATTAAAAATTATTTCGACTGTAAAAATTCAGTGGGAATTGTTTTTGGCAAGCGTCGTCGCTGCTGTCTCTGCAGCCCATTTGCAACAAAAACACCAACACACACACACACACACACACACAGCTGGCACATACACACACACACACACACACACACACACACACACACACACACACACACA